ACTGCCTTCGGCTCAGGTCATGATCCTGGAGTCCCGGGATCAAGTCCCACATCGGGCTCCCTGCTCAGCGGGGAGTCTGCTTCTCCCTCTGACCCTCTCCCCTCTCGTGCTCTCTATCTCATTCTCTCTCTCAAATAAATAAATAAAATCTTTAAAAAGAAAAAAGTAGTAAACCAAACTTATAAATTATTATGTAACATGAAGGATGTGTTTTACTGATCACACTAAAAATTATGCCAACCGTTTTAAGATTCTGAATTCTGACAGCAGTTGTAAAAAAAGAGAAATCCCCAGTGGAATTATTCCCATCATCATGAAAATTGTGAACATTTTGCAGTCACAGTGTAAAGTGATAATAAAAGTATGAAAATAATTCATTCCTTCTGAATAGGGTTTATAGTTTCAAGTTCTATCATACACATTTTCAATTTCATAAAGACTTGTGCAGCAAGGTCAGACCTACATGTAACCACTGAGAAATAAACATGTAAACAAATTTAAAAAGGCAGAAAATAGAAGTGCTGAGAGAAAAGTTCAAGGATTTAAAGTCAAAGGAATTTGATACTTGCCATGCTATTTGATTACATTTCAGTCTTCTCAATATTTTCATAATATTTAAATAAATAAATATAGATCATCACACCAAATAATTTTTTTTAAGATTTTATTTATTTGAGAGAGAGAGAGCAAGTGCGTAAGTGGGGGAGGAGCAGAGGGGGAAGGAGAGGGATAAGCAGACTCTGTGCTGAACACGGAGCCCGATGCAGGGATCTATCCCAGGGCCCTGAGTTCATGACCTAAGCCGAAGGCAGATGCTTAACTGACTGAGCCACCCAGACGCCCCAACACACAAAATAATTCTTGCAAATAGATCCAGGAAAAGAAACTAAACAAGACAGAGAAACTATTTTCATGTTTTCATTTTGATACAATAAAATCATGAAATTCCAAGTGTTAAATTAAGGGATAAAGAAGGGGAAATGGTATCAAACAAAGTAAGCTGGTCAGTGTCAAAATTTTACTTAAAATGAAAATGTTCCCTAGGTATTAAAAAAAAATTTTTTATACTACTTAAGTTTTATTGGCAGAATATAATGAAAGATTGGCCTGGGAATCCAAAATCTGCATTCTAATGATATCTCTGTGGTAGGTTGGCCAGGTAAGGTAACATCATCATTTGTTTACTTCATATTTATTTACTGAGTACCTACTGTATTAGCTATGTGAGTTACTAAGTTCCTACAAATATATTATTAGACATACTTGCTATCTTCAAGAAACTCACAGAATGAAACAGAATGAAATGGAAATAATTTTAAAATCAGTGTATACAAGTCATAATGTAGCATAAAGGATAGACCAAACAATTTTATTTGATGTGGTATGTTCCTTGATTTTCCAGGGAATTTAATGTTTCATTTGAGTCTCAAAGAATTCATAGGGAATTGCCAGCCAGTATGAAGATCTGGGAGCACACTGGTGGTAGAGAAAATGAAATGTAGGAAGAATAAAAGCGCCAAACACTAAGCCAGACTCACAGAACATAAGTACTTTACCTTGGTTAACACAAGGTGCATAAGAGAGAGAAGTAAGACATAGGCTGGAGCAAAAGCTTCTGTTGTCGAGGGACCTTGACTGCCAAGCTGTATGTGTGGGCTTTTTTCTCTAGACAACGGAAAATCATAAAATGGACTTTAAAGAGAAATAACATAATTAAATCTGTTCCATGAAAAGCTCACTCCAATGATAGCCAACCAGGGAGCCTGGAGGCTGACTGAAACGAAGGTATAGTGTTTTGAAGTGTATTTCAGGTCATTACAATGGCAACAGGCACCTGTAAATTTTCTGCATTAATGGGAAGCAATGAGGGCAGGGTGCTGAAATTCACTGACGGCCTTTTATCTCCTTGCCAGCAAGCACTGCAACTTCAACATACACTAAATCTTTTCCCGGATGGAGTACCTAGAGTTTGATCTTCATTCTTCCTTTCATGGAACACTGGTAAAATGTACTTGTTTTTATTGTTGCCATAACAAATAACCACAGGGTTAGTGGCTTAAATCAACAAAAATATACTAACAGTTCTGTAAGTCAGAAATCTGACATAAATTTCACTGGGTGTCAAAAATCAAAGGTGTCAGGAGGCCATTCCTTTCTGGAAGCTCAAGGGAAAACAGGTTTCTTTGCCTTTCCCAGGCTTTAGAAGTCTCCATGTTCCCAGGCTCAGGAGTGGGGGTTGCGGGGGGGGGGGGTGGCGCGGGAGGCCCTCCTCAACCTTAAGCCAGGGAAAGTGGTCAAGTGTCTGTCATGTCACATCACTTGTCTTCTTCTACATTTAAGGACCTTTGTGAATACACTGGGGCAACTCGGATAATCCAGAATAATCTCCCCGTTTTAAGGTAAAATGATTAACAGATGTAATTCAATCTCCAAACTAACTTCCCTTTGCCATGTACTGTAACATATTCATAGGTTGTGGGGACTAGGATATGTACATCTTTGGTGTGGAGGGGGAGGGCATTATTCTGCATATCACACACAATAAAAGTGTTAATAAGCAGTAAGATAAGCAAAAGTCCATCAATTAGAAGGAAAAGACAAGGACATTCAGTTAAAGGGCAATCGGTTCCAGAAAAATTCAGGCAATAACTGGATTCTCTTTCATAGGGCAGGGGATGACATATCTAGGGCAGAATAATTCATGAACCTAGTTTTTTAGTCAGGTTGTGGTGAAAAGATACACTGAATTTACATTTTAAAATATGTGAATTCCAATGTTTCTGTAAATGGTGCTATTGGCCAACCACTTACGGAATGGACTACCACTTGTATTTACAACCTTCTAAGCCTTTATATAGTAGTTTGAATGTTCAAGGGACTCGGTGTTTGTTTAAAAGTTGCACAAAGCATAAGAGTCTTCTTCATTAAAGAACAATACGAACAACCAAAAAAGGCTTTCTTTCTTTTTAGACTCAAGTAGGGATGCCTTCTCTTTTCAAAATCATTTTAGAGTACCTATCAGACAAGCTATCATATTTTTCAAGGACTCCCTGGGCAATCTTTGGTCACCTCACACGTACCAGCTCATCCCCAGAGTGAAGCTGGAAGGCCTGAGGGCAGTGTATTCTCACAGAAGACGAGCTTCACAGCTTCTGTGTAGACATCCAAGGACAGAAACGGCTGGGCTGTATGTGCACTGTTATCTCAGAGACTATTTGAGACCCAGCTTCCAGTCCTGGATTTCAACTCCGAATAAAACAGAATAGTTCTAGAAAACATCTAGGCTTTGACAATGGCAATCAATCTTAATGAGGACTTTGAACTAGCAATAAAAGAATAAACGTGCACTTTACATGCTTAGCAAAATACATATATTATTATCCTTTATGCTATATTTAAACAAAGCATTTTCTAAGGATTTCTGACAGTTTTTTTTTCTCCCCCAACTCCTTAAAGCCATACCTGTCTGTTTCACTATTGCCAGGTCAACAGATTTAACAACGTAAAAAGTAAGTACTCAGTGGTTGCTGAGTTTATTGAATTTATCTACCACCAAATTTCAAAAGGGAACTAAGAATATT